AACGTGACATAAAGTTGTAATACCTCTCATATTGGGTTTGTTTCGAACTTTTGTAAGATTGAAAATTGAAATTGAACTGTTTATGGAGTATATAAACATTTTGTTTGGTTTAATTAATTAAATTTCTTTCCTGGATATGGAGTGGCAAATGCAGATTAATGCCTTGCCAAGGAGTCAGGCCCTATGTTGATTGAAATGATGCCTTTTATTTACACACTTTATTGTTTTAGTTAACGGAAGAAGGGATTTATGAGTTGGATATTAAAAGCATGATCGTAATACCATATCATTATCTTTGAGATGCACTGACCTTTAAAAAAAAAGACAGAAACGAAAGGTTAAAGAGTTTGGAACCGGTCGAGAAGGCATCGAATAACAAGCTAATTGGTAGATGGTCTGGTAGGATGCGATAGCAATCACCTCTCCTCCACGTGTTGGACCCGAAACAAAGGAAGTTGAGCCGAGAGGAGGATAACCGTGGAAAAGAGCAACCGGAAATCACGCACCTAACCATTCTTGTTTATGGATATCACAAACTTCCTGCATCCATCAAAGAATAAAACTCTTTCAGCCGGATTGCTGTGGATATAGAAGGAAATAAACGCTCCTCTATTGTATATCAGTATCGTCTCAAAGCTCTCACTGTATCTGAATCATTTTTTTTATTATTTTAACGAAAGCAATCTATTGTTTCTTAAAGTTTTTTTTATTAACGATTAAATGTATCCTTGTAATCGCAAAGATGGGGATTCTTATCGTCGTGTCATCTAGATACACCCTCAAAATCAAACATTATTCGTAAACTTTTTTTATTCAGAATTTTAGTTGAATAACAGACTGATTTGATTAATTGTAGATTGAATAGGTTATAGTTGAGCCAAGCACAATATTTCGATAGGTAGATTAAGTAGCGAATTCCTATTTGTCAGTGTATCCTAAAAAAGTTATAACTATGACCTATAGTCTATTAATGAGTAATTGATTGTGATAGCTGAACATGAGTATAGTAAGCAGCTATTTCAACAACTTTTTACCGTAACGGTATTTGGATACATACACTAATTTTGCACCTAGATTTTGCTTTATACCATAAAACCATGGCAATGGTGGAACAACGTCAATATTTTAGCTCCGCCTCGCCACTTCATGATTAAGATCCGTTGCATTGACCTTTCCAACTACCATTGTTTTATCATCTCCGTTTATAACCTATTCCTACTCCATTTTTGCGAGGAACACGGATGCGGCGATGCCAACTTTAAAGCTGTTTCAAATTTTAATTCCAATATTTTCTTCTCTAAATGATGTGTCGTAATCTTTTTACTCTGTGCATTTTTATGTTTATTTCATTTTTAGGAACATAGAAGAGTATAAAAACAACAAAGAATACAAATAAGTACAATGGTCAATATAATAACAAAACAACAACAAATTTCGAATTTCTACACAAGGCTCTCCGAATTTATAGTTGATGATACAATTCATAAATGTACCATAATTGCATAAGAACTCTTCAGAGTGCAAGACTAAAAGCTCCAGTACGTCTTTTTTTGCAAGCTATATTCTTCATTACTTTGTTCATATTTGTCTTTCTCCTCCCGTCTCATTATCATCATCATCATCATCATCATCATCATCATCATCATCATCATCATCATCATCATCATCACCATCACCACTCACCACCGCCAGCATTGAGGATACACAACTCTGGATAAATGCCATATTTGTTGCAATCACGTTCGTGGTTCTCGTCTTTTGGTTAATTTTAGCCGAACAATAATAATTATTATAGCAATATAATTTCTTTATTTAAAGATACTATGTCCCATTTGCAGGCCAAAAAAATTAAAAAGTTAAATTCCGACTGCATTTGAAAGATAATACTAATTTCGAACTTCCCTAAAAAAGGTGGGGCTTGAAAATGTCTTCAAGTGGGAAAATAACGACTATTAGTTGTCAAATCGACTTTAGGGCTATTGAGCCCAAAAGTAATAGTCTTGATTTTCAGACATTATTGTACCGAATGGTCATACGTTTTATGCTGCGCAAAGATTCAATCAGTTTAATCTTGGCCATCACAAGAAGTGGGTTATTGATGTAGACAAATGCTCATGTACCCTTTACAACTCTGTTCATGTATGTTATTACCAAAGAAGAAAAAAAAGCCAGTCAGTCACTCAATAGTGTCTGACACTGAAGTCTATAAGTAAACGGGTTTCCTTGCATAATTTGAATATGAGGACACTGCTAACGTTTAAATTTCACAGATAGGACATACATGACATATTCATAATTCCTGCAAAGTTCTACAGAATTTGAGGTTGGTTGCAAAAGGGACATAGTACCTTTAAAGCCTGTCTACACTACTTTGGCCAGGAGGGATTAGACACCCCCCCCCCCCCCCCTGCGTGGTCACTGACAGGTGGTACCGTGGTTATCTCATCAAATCATCTCTCAATTAACATAAGAAAAAGGGGATCATGGGGGACCAACGGGTACCGCTTAGGCATTGTTTGCTATATATAGAGGGCACAAGTAGCTACAAGTAGAGCAGTCCCACTTGGAATCGGAATGAACTACTTTCATGATTTCGTCGTGACAATTCAATATCAAGGGCAAAAAAACTCCTTATTATTGTCCTCCTGCCATTCGTGTAATTGGTGAAAGGTTCACATAAACCAAATTTGATACGACCCCCGCCCCTCCTCTCGCATTTATTCGACCTGATCCATCCTTGGCCTGCTTAGTTCTACCATAAAGGGTCGTATAATGCTCCAATAACTAAGACAGAACGAAAGAGACACGGGAAGACAATAAAAGAGCAATAATAACAAGGGGAAAGAGGTTCAGATATTTTAAAGCCATACAAAGATAGAAAAGGAGAATTTAAAAAAAAAGAGAAAGGGGGAAAGAAAGAGAAAAGTAGAAGGGAAAACAAGATAAAAGGGATAGACAAGTAGATCACACAATGAAATACAAAGAGAGAGAAGAAAAGAAATAACGAATATTATAATTGATCAATACCCGAAAAAGATAAACGATAATTTTCATAATAATGATGAAGATAAGACCCTTAATAATAATACTTGCAATTATTTAATAATAACAATAATAATGATAATAATAATGAACATTATTAACATGGGTATTGTTAAGAAACCAACGAAACATTTTGATTGAGAGGATTGAGAGCTCCGAAGAGTTGAACGGAGTTTGATAGAGGAGACGTTGTCCTTGGTAATGATAATTATCATTCTGACCGTATACTTTCAGCCTATCAGCGAGGGAGGATTTGGGAGACGTACAGATAATGTGCAGAGAGAGAACAAAGAGGGCGCCTACGACTATTCTATAGAACCGACTCTGACTGCACCGTTCATAAGAACTGGCCAATGTCGACAGAAATTTGTAATGGTCATTGGCGTATCGGTTTCAGTTAAAAAATAACTATAATATAATTTTGTTCCTCTACCACCCCTACCTGTAATGATCGTGGTGCCTGGTTGCGTTTGCGCCTTAATACTCCATTTTTGTATAAAGTATAGATGGTATATTTATTAGTTTCCATTTTCAAACATTATTTTATAATGTGTTGGTAACCCCCCCCCCCATACCAAAACCAGTTTTGAATAGTCGCAGTAGACCAACTATTACCATCCTATCAGACTAGATTAATACATGTATGTATCACACCGGGAAATCTTGTTATAGTTAAAGCCTTTGATGATCGGGTACAAAAGAAATAACAATATATGGCATTATTACAGCTACACCTTTTCTAGCTGAATGAAATAGTTTTTTCTCTACTACGTCGGGGTTTCCTGTGTAGGTCATGATATGATAATTCTTTTAAATTGTCTTTTATTTTGAAGAACATTGCGGTAAACATGTTTACACTTTCATCATGTCATGAAAGACAATATATAGTGACTTTTTTTTTTTTTTTTTAAACGTTACCGTGGAGTTTTCCAGCCTTGCAGAAAAAAAGGCTTACACTTGAACAAAAAAGCTTGGCACAAATCAAGACTGTCTAGTTATCGTCTGATCCTTTAAAAAAACCCTCTTCAATTCTAGAAAGTGAGTGAATTTCCGAAAATGACATGAGTTAGGCCTTATCGTTTAAAATAAATTCAAAGACAAAATATATATGTTTTTTTTAATTTTTTTTATTGTTGTATAAAAATTGACATGCACCACAGAATGAAGTGGTCAGTTAACAATTAGAATAATACAACAATGCAGAGGGGTGTTACGATAGTATTATGGATTTATTTTAAATTATGAAATATACATAAGAACCCTTTCAAACAACTAATGTGTGAACATTGCACCGTCACGTAATCTGAACATGATTTCCATGAGATATACTGTACAATGAGATATGTGCTTTTGTTGATTTCTTGAAAGTTTGTGCGATTGTGTTTTCAATGAATTAAACCATATTGATGTGTTATATGTTTTTTCGTTGTGAAATAGAGATAGCTTAAAGGACTCAGATAATTATAACACATATAAATTATGATCTTTGAATAACTAAAAAGTGTTCACTCCGATCAAAATCATAATCTGATGTAATTTGATGGGGATGAGTCCGTTACCTTGGATCGACACCATACGGTCCTTTGGTTAATCTGTTTGGGGCCATTAGAATGTAAACTCTGTGTTAAAGTTCTGTGTTCTGACTCCAAACAGATTTGGTAAACTTCAGGGGCGTGGCTGGGATGTCTGCTTATTGGGCGTGGTCCATATAATTATATGGGTTATTGCAGTGCCTAATTCTTCCTTCTTATTCGCATTGCAAATTTTTTTTCATTTTTCCAGTTTATTTTCTCGGATTGAATTTCTAAAAGTGTTTTCTATTCTCCATCTAAAATCTGCAATACATTAATCATTTTCATATCTATTCTTCTTTGAAAAAAATGAAGCATGAAATTCGTAGTGCAATTGGGCGGCTCTTCTTTTTTTAACGATCGAGCGATGAGATGAGATCATCGAGAGCGAGCAGAGTTCAAAGGTTGACCGGCGCCGTGTACACTTTTCTAGAACGGGAGTTAGTCAGAAAGACTGTAACCAGGCAGAATGGCGGTTTATGAAACTCTCCTCTTGTAAGTTATGACGTATTTTTATTGAACTGATTGTTTTAGATATTGTTTTTAATGATAATCAACTATTCGGTGAACATTTGAATGTTTATGATACTAATTTGTTGAAACCTTTTGTCATTGTAGTCCCACGAGATGAAATCGGTGTATGCTACCTTAAATATGCACTCGTAGGAGCATTATGAATACTTTGGTCTAGTCTAGATCTAGCAAAAATGTTACGTCTAAGACACCATCTATTGATTCTCAAAATTTTCAATCACCACTGTTCGAAAATCGGCACTTTAGTGACAATTGATGACACCTAGATCTAAACAGCAGTAAAATACAATCAATTCAACTCACCGATATTTTTTTTTTTTTAATAATTTTTTAATCAAAAATCTTTTATCAATCCTTGCGAAGCTAAGAGCTGCTTTGTTTTCCTATATCAGCAAAACAAATGGGAGAAAAATACAAATTATTGTTGAAACAATTTTAAATATGACGCTCCAAATTTGTTACAGTAAATCATGACCGTAATAAATCAGTCCTGTAATTTCCAGCCGATTCACAAACTGTAGAAGCCACTAATAGTTTTCCTCTGCCGTGTCCCTTTCGCTTGCAAGCTACATATTCATCTAAACAAAATTGACCAACAAAAACTCAGTAACTATATGGTCCGTTAGTGCCTACAGAATATTTAAGGGCTTTTACCTGTCATGTTGTTATTGTTATTGGAGTGTTTTTCTATCTTCATCTTTCTACAACTCTCTCTCCTACCCTCATTTGCGCACAGACATACCCAGGATGATAAATTCTACATCGAAGCAAGGGATCCTGGAACGAAGGAGGTTCTCGTCATCGATAGACTCAGCCAGGAGATCATTCTTGAAGGTGACAGTAAACCTCTGATGTGATGACTTATTAATTTTCATTCTTCCATTGTCCAACATCCTTCAGTGTGCATCATTGTTCCTGATAATAGTACATTCGCAAAATATGACAGTTTATTGAGATAAGAATTCATCCTACCAAATACTTTTATATCTTTGGCAGTTAATGTGATTTGTGAGAACAAGAAGGCAAATTGTATTAAGAGGATAAAAATAGTATAGGGTACTAGAAAGGTTTCCTAGTGCCAACTCACAACTGGGCCCCGTCTTATAAAGAGTTGTGATTGATGCGTGTTTACAGTTTTCAATCGCAATTAAGTTGCAATTAATCATAGCTTTTTATAAGACCGGCACAATGGCACAATTTATGGCAAAATAAACTGTATATTGATCATTGTCTTTGTTTTTGTCTTTTTTAGAAAATGGCCTTGGCATTCCACCAGGAGCAAGTAAGCCCATATGTGGTATTATGGGCATTATCAAACTGCTGAGAGGTAAGTAATCCGATTACTTTCAGCTCCCCCCCCCTATTTAATATCTATTCCACTTCTTTTCAATTACTTTCCCAGATTCAATTTAGAACCATTTAAGAATATTTACAGGTTCATCTTTTATTCATGTGAAAATCTTTGTCATGAAAGTTGTTAAGCTTTCGTCCAAAGCTAGGTGACATTTTATTGAATAAAATGAGTCAGGTCTGCATATTATTATTCAAATAGTCCATCAAAGTATCAATACTCTTAATGCTATTTACAATGCAATCATCCCTTTTTTCTGTAGGGTCATATCTGGTGGTAATAACCAAGAAAACAAAGGTAGGAGAGATCAATGGCCAACTCATCTGGAAGGTGGCTGGAACTGAGACTATACCCTACAAAAGAACTGATCTGCATCTCACTGAGGAACAGGTAAAGACTGCTCAATGAAAGACTAAGAAGTGGAAAGTTTCCTTGTAATACACTAGTAAAAAAAAACCTGATTACATGGTGCCTAGTGCGAATTGAAAACTGGAACTAATGATTGTGTGTATCTAATGCCTGTAAGGTTTACTCAATAGTTACACTATGTATAGTATTTCAAAGAAATAAAAGCCGACAAAAGAGCTGATGAGTCCCAGAAATAAACCTAAGCTCTATAAGCTTAAATGCTCCTTGACTGTTCGATCTGCATGCTCCAGTCATTTTCAAGAAAATGTCCAGAAATTTTCCATGCAAGTGATGGCTTTTTATCGTCCTTGTGAATATCTGTTGAGGAGACACCCCACTTCTTGTTGGCTATCCAATGGGAAATGCGTTTATAAACTAAATTGGCAGATATGCTATATTTTATCATGCTCTTTTTGTCCCTGCTAGGACCGTGAACTCTCATCTATGATCTGCGAATCATGCTAAAATGATCAGTTTCAACTTAAAGCCCCACTGTACTACTTGTAGCTACTTGCTTCCTCTATGTAGAAAACTTCCCCAATCGGTGCCTCTTGGTCCCCATGATCCTCTTTTTCTTATGTTAATTGAGAGCTGAGTTGAAGAGATACCCACCTGACAGTGACCTCGCTGGGTGGTCTAATCACTTCTGGCTGAACTAGTACAGATGGCCTTTAACTTATTTTGCATTTGTTCTTTTAACAGAAAGAAGACAACAAGGTGTATGAATCCATGGTTCAATATGCTTTGGAGAACAACACTTACTATTTCTCAACGACCTTTGACCTCACGCATTCACTACAAAGGTTATATAACACCAGTCCAGAGTTCTTACAGATGCCTCTATTTGAGAGGGTGAGTATGTCACATATCAAGTAAGAGTTACTCATGAGTCATGATTTGGTTATTTTAATTTAAAGAATCAAATATCATGATGTAAGAGGAATTATCTGTTTTTCCATTTATGGCAAGATAATTAAAGTCCACGTTGAACATTTGATGCTAAACTAATGTCATGTTGATTGAATGATAATAGAATTGCAACAATGTCACATCAAGAGGGTAAATTTACCTTAAATCATATTTTAGAGTGGAATTCAATCTAATTTGATTGCAAGGGTTATCTTCAAATGGCATACTAATTGATATATGTTATTAATGCTATATGTTATTAATGCTATAGATTTCTGTTGAGGCCCATGTATATTCATTCAATTAAATCACTGGCCAATTAACCCTTACTGTACTGGGCTATTTTGAGCACCCTCTGACTGGGGGGGGGGGGGGGGGGGGGCCTGGGAGGCCCCCCCCCCTATGATCTCGGCCGTCGAATGTCCGATGAACACGAAAATTTGCATATTTGTAGATATTTACGTAAGGAACAAGATGGTATAATTAGTTTTTTCCTAATATGCAAATTTTTCTCATTATAGCCTAATTAATTATGCAAAATGCTAATTTTATGCATTTTACAGAAAACTCTGCATATTTGTCCGTAGACTTGTGAAGAATCTTGAAAATGTATTGAATAAATGTTTCCTTCATCTCAAATTCATGAGGTTTCATTATTTTTATGATATTTGAAAATGCATAGGTTAATTTGCATAAATTATGAATACGCAAATTACGCATTCATGAATATCAAATCTGGAACTATATTTAGGGAACTAGAATCATTACAAGAATTGTCAGACTCCACTTTTTGAATGTTGAAACTCATTATTCATATGAAACTTCTTTTCTAACACAAAATAGTTATTTGATGTAATTAATAACGATAATTTATGCAAATTTGATGCGATTTTCAACTATTTATTTTCTTATGTATTATATTGTTTTTTATTTCTTATTATATCTATTGTTTTATTTCTAATGTATTCTTTTGTTCTGGAATACATCAAGTTACTCTGAGAAACATATAAAAGCAATTTGATATCAATTCATATCTTCAAATTTCTGCTTGTACATGAATATATGCAATTATAGCACTTTTTTGATGACATGCGCATACTAATTGTTATGTAACACCTTACACGTATATCCAATTTTGACGAAAATGGTATCAAAATGTGCGAGACTTGAGGGAAAAAAGTCATGAAACGACAATTCAAAATTCCAAGCGGTTGCGGCGCGATCTCTGAAAATGTTGAGGGGGGGGGCCTCCCAGGCCCCCCCCCCCCAGTACAGTAAGGGTTAAATCACAATATAAAGATGATGTTTCAATAATGATTTCAGATATGTAGCAAGGCATTTTTGTGTATATTTCATTTAGATGTGTGTGTTATCAAGTAATTTTTGTTTGTTTTCTAGGCTGATCAGAGGTATGTTTGGAATGGCCACATGCTTAGAGAGTTCACAGCACAACCTGAGGTAGGTTTAGTACAAAGTTTAGTGGATCTTCTCATCTTGTTCTGCTTGAATGTTGTGATTGAATTAATGTACATATTGTTTTATTATTAGTGTTATTAATATTGTTGTTGTTGGTGCTGTTATTATTATTATCATTATCATTTATTAGGCGAAGACAAAATCAAGTAAACAGTGAATACAAAACAACAGAATGGTTTGTAGGGAGTCACATGGATGCCGGGAAAAGGAGAAGATTAACTAAATATAAGTCTTTTGGGTTACAAGTTTATAACCCATTTTGTACGATTTAGACCACTCCTTGCTTTTCAAGTATAATTAGTACTTCCTTTCATTGTAAATCTACCCCCTAGCTCTTCTTTGGTCCATTTGCATCTCTTCTGCAGATATAAGCAAAAAATGGTTTGATTAGATATTGTGTGATTTTTATCATCGTCTGTGGTCAAAATTAGATTGCATTCAGAGACCGATCCTAAATCTTTTGGGGTTGAAAATTTCTCTAGGAATTTCCTAGCTAGTGAGATAACACTTGTTTAAGCTTTAACCTAAACTTTTGAGAAGCATTTGTGTTTTTGTATTCTATTCTAAATTGCAAGTATTGTGTAATTTACTTCATATTTTTGTTTTTATATTTTAGCTGGGCAAGTTCATTCTTCCTGTCATGGTAGGCTGTATCCTTTGATAATCATCTCAACTGGTTGAAACAATGAATGACTAACACAATCCACATACAACTTGATAACTAAGACAAGACCACTTAAATTTAATGGTCTACTGCAAGGGTTATTATTAATCTGCCAGGCAGAATACTGAAGTTTTGTTAGCTTAATTGTCTTGCTACCACAAACCCTGTTTGCTTTACATGTGGTATTCAAAACCTGTCCACAATGACCATATTTTTTGTTTTCCTTGAACTTTGTTTCTTTTAAGAAGGTGTATTAACCAAACCTGTCCTTAAAGACCACCTGTCTATAAAGACTGCTGATCCTGTCTCCCCGGAGCACTACACAGGGCTCTCTTTTGATACATAGTTCTGTTCAGTTCTGTCTTTTTTTTAAATTCTAAATAAAAGCAACATACATAAAATATAGAAACAATAGAAAAGCAATACAAAGACAATACAAAGCAATTCTCTCAGTATTGAAGTGTCAACAAAAAATGAAACCTGCTTAGTGACCACCTGTCTTCAAAGACCACATTTTTTGTTTTCCTTGAATACGGTTTCTCATTGAAACATTTACTAAAGGAACCTGTACATAAAGACCACTTTTCTTGTCCCCTTAGGTGGTCTTTATAGACAGGTTTCACTGTATAAACATTAGAAAAACAATACAAAACAATTACATGAAACAGATTATGACAATGAGCTGAAAGGTCAACACAAAATGGCAAATAGCCTTAAAGTATGTTGACCCAAAGTTGAACTCCTTAACTCCTTGGTTGCCGCATCCAGTCATCTCGATACGGATAGGCATCCTCAACACCAAGAGGTTTGACTACATCCTCATCTCAAGACGAAGCTGCCTGAGAGCAGGGACGCGGTTCTACATGAGAGGATTGGATGAGCAGGGACAAGCGGCTAACTTTGTAGAGACAGAACAGATTGTGCAATTCAACGGCAGCAGGGCTTCATTTGTCCAGGTAAGCATAAATGAGCTGTAGGAATTTCCTTTCATATGTTAAAGGCCCACTGTACTACTTGTAGCTACTTGCTCCCTCTATATAGAAAACAATGCCTAATTGGTGACCATTGGTCCCCCATGATACTCTTTTTCTTATGTTAATTGAGAGCTGAGTTTATGAGATCACCTGTCAGTGACCCCTAATCCCTCCTAGCCAAACTAGTACAGATGGCCTTTAAAGCCTATGAGGAATGAAAATTATTGGTACTTATTAAAGTGTTTGTTTTATCATTAATTTTATAAACAATTTGAAATGTAGTGTGCTCATGTAACTGTATTGCATTGTGGTGAGAGAATTGTCATGACCTCCACTGGTATTGCTCAATATTTTCACTGAGATGCTGCTAAATGTGTGTTTATTATATTTTCCCGATTAAGGGTAACATTCAGTCTTGGGGTGGGTATAAAAATGAGAGAATTTGTTAAATCATACTTTGTCACAGTTTATACTTTATCAGTGGAGGAAAGTCACTTGTCCAATTCCAATTGTAAAGATTCAATAATTCTTCTAAGGTAAAACAAATTAGACAAGTTAAATTGTCTGCCTTGACACTATTATGTTTTGGTACATTTATATACGATGTTCAATCATTTGCAGATATTACTTTACAGTTCCTATAATGTGTTCAATTTCTTTTATTCTTTTTCAGACACGAGGTTCCATTCCATTATTTTGGTCGCAGAGACCGAACCTGAAATACAAACCAGTTCCACATATCAGTGAATCACAGAGTCACGTGAGTAACAGCTAGGACTGCACAATCATGGAGAAAGGAAAGAAGGAGTAGAAATTGTTGCGGGTTCTCTTTTTGTTTAGAATAAAGGGTGCTTTTTGTATGGAAGATAGACGGGAGGGAGAGGGAGAGGGGGAGAGAGAGAGAGAGAGAGAGAGAAAGAGATGCCAAAATGAGTTAGATCATACCTCCTTTCTCAAACAATAGCCCCTCTTAAAAACGCAAATTTCTTTTTTCTCACACACAGTAACATTAATACAAATTGAGCATTGTCTAGTGATTTTTTGTATAGCGGACTCTTTTGACATTTTGTAGCAGACACATTATCATAGACTCTCATAATAATAATAATAGGCATTTCTATAGCGCCGTCTATCTAGAAATTCTATTCTGAGGCGCATTTATTATTACCCCGGCTGTAGCCTAGCTGCCATTACAACACTCCAGAATTTCAAGGAACTAATTCCTGCCAGGTACCCATTTACATCACCTGGGTTGAGTGTGGCAAATGTAGATCAATGGTCTTGCCAAAGGACATAAGTGCCGCGGTGGGATTTGAACCGCGGACCTTGTGATCGACAGTCTGGTGACGTATCCACTCGACCACGACACCTCTAGCACATTGTAATAGATGACACATAATCTTAATAGAATATTTTGAAGGAAGTGACATGGGCTATGAAGATATTTATTATGATGAACTCATCTTTCTTGATTTTAGCTGGATGCATTCAAGAGGCATTTTGATGATCAGGTGGTGAACTATGGTAATCAAGTCCTCATTAATCTGGTGAGTTCTACCCTTTAGTCACTCATAATTATGCAAATAACATTTACTCTTGAGTGTGTTAGCAGTAAGGAGCTAGCTTTGGAAGCTGATTGTGTGGGTTTGAACTGATGAAATTTAAATGTAGTAATCAAGAGTTGTGTGTTATTTTATTCATAACATATGGATGTTAAGATTCTTGTTATTTGATAAACTATTAATCATAATCAGAATTAAAAGCTATTGACTGACAAATTTGTTAGTAAGTCTAAAAGTGGTAATGCAAATCTTGATGTTGTATCCATATACCTCGCCAATGCGTGCTTCATCATTTGTTGAATATGAGTTCTTCAGAGGCGTATACACATGTGCACTAACATTTTTTGTTAGTCAAAACATAATTCCACTTTGTTCCTATTAACCTAAATTATTGCTTAATACCTCAGGTCCTCTTCATTCCACTTTTTCCTATTCACTCCAGTTGGTCCAATTAACTTTGTTTAATGATATTTTATTCTCCCGACTTCCAGATTGATCACAAAGGAGCAGAGAACAGATTGGAGAAGATGTTTGCCAAGACGGTCTATGAATCAGGCAACCAGATGATGAGGTGATCAAGTATTACATTCACAGATGACGGTTTTCTTCCTTGATTCTATTTTTAGGGAAGAAACAAAATATGTGCTCGAAATGAGAACAAAATAACTTTGTATGTAAATAATCGCTGCAAGATTATGTTGGGATGATCAGAGTATTCAGTGCTTTGTATCTTCAGAAAAGTGCAATGTAAATCAAACTTTTATCAATATTATTACCATTCTTAGAAGAGTTAAAAAATGAGCGAAATTTTTATATTTCAAATTTGGGATATCAGAGTCATTAGGATATTGGGTTCATGCACCGGTCACAACTTTCTTTGTAATATTATCGTTAAAAGCTATTGTATTGTCAGGAAAACATAATCAGGTTAACACAATTTTTATTTTTATTTTTTAAAATTTCAGGTACGAGGCTTTTGATTTCCACCATGAGTGCCGTAAGATGAGATGGGATAGACTCTCTATACTCATGGACAAACTAGCCAAAGATCAACAGCAATTTGGGTGAGTTACATAATTTATTTTCAAGGTCTTGGCCTCCTTTTCATCAACTCAACTTCAATTACAATTCAAATCTTTTATTCAACTTTTATTAAACAAATTACAATAATAATATACAAGATAATGGTTAGGACCAGAGAGCAGAATTCTGCTTGTAATCGGGGCCCTGTAACAAACAAGAACAAGATAATTGAAAAACTAAAAAAAAGTTGCATAATACAAGCATCACATACACACACATTCATAAAGAAGGTATCAAAGAAAGAATAGAAAGAAGAGAAAAATAGGATAGAAAGAAAGGAAAAAGAAGTACCTAGTCAGTCAACGATATCATTCTTCAAAAATACTTTTTTTGTACATCAATTTAAATCTGGTAATTGTAGAAGTGGATCTAAGGCCAACAAATGATATGGAAAGTGGGTGATGTAGATTTTACTTTGAAGAGTGGGTGTTGGGCGATGGAGTTTGAGTTAGCTATTTTCATAAGTGTTTGAAGAGATCTGAGATGTTGGTTTGTCAGGAGACTACAGCATTGCAGTGGTAGATAAAGTACCCTCCCATATGAAACCCAGTGGTCATATATTCTAAGGGTTATTGATGAACACTGATTTGTCATTGATGTTGTTTGCTGTTTGTTCTTTAGGTACTTCTGGATGGATGCCAACAATGAGCTACTCAAACACCAGGTTGGTGTGTTCAGAACAAACTGCATGGACTGCTTAGATAGGACCAATGTTGTACAGAGCATGCTGGCTAGGAGAGCACTTCAAGATCAAATGCAGGTAAGACTCTTGATAAACTCTGTTAATCAGACCATTATATGGTGGTGCGTTTAGCCAGGTCTAAATTATTTACAAGATGTGATCAATATTTTAAACAGTTTTAGATAAAACCAAGGTTTTACAGAATATTATAGGTAACAGCTAGGAAAAATGTTGATCAAACCAGGCTGGCGAGAAGAGCACTTTAAGATTAAGCAGGGTTGGTATTCTGAAAATTGCAATAGCAGAATTTTTAGAGGGGAACTAATGATGCACCAGAAGTTTGTTATTGCACTTTTTATTATTTCATAAAGTTAAAGATGAAATTTTTTTTTTTTAAATACCACATTAGGTAATCAATTTCTGATACAGTTGTTCAGGTGTGAACATTTGGCCTCATTTTCAAAGTGATTTAAATCGATGGAAATTTCTTATAAAACATTTTTCCCATTTGGTCGTCAGTGAATAAAAGATAAAATTACTGATCATTACATTTCAATAATTGAATTTTTCTTTGTTTTGTGTAACTCTCACTTTTTCATTACTTTTTTGTTCAGCAAATGGGAATCTTGAAACAGGGTGAGAATTTGGATGATCATTATACTGCCGCATTTGAATCAACATTTAAGAACAGTAAGTACTTTATTCAAACACCATGCAATATGTTTTATTTTTTATGCAGGATATTGTTCGATTTGTTATTTTAATTTGTAGGGATGGATAAAATCATGTATGCATCTACAGTCAGAATTCTTTTATTATGACTGCATATGAAACTGAATTGAATTGAATTGAATTATATCGGAATGTCTAATGATAAAAATATGCACCCTTTTCATTCTATCCATATGTTTTACTAATCTATGCCTAAATACTTTGGCATACTTTCCATCATTACACTACGATTTATGTGCTGTTTATCTTTCTACATCCGTAAAATGTTTGTATCAAGTTGTATGGAATCTTGTTAGTTAACATTTTATTCTACCTGCTGATTAATTCATTATCAGTCTACTTCAATGTGTTTGAATTCGTCCTTAAATGAGTAATTAGACAAGTCTCGAAGGTTCTACCTAAATAGTAATCTGAAAAGTTATGATCATGCATCCATTGTTTGCTTTCTATTAAACAGCTTGGGCAGATAATGCAGATGCATGCTCCAAGCAATATGCCGGTACAGGAGCTCTCAAGACAGACTTTACAAGGTAAGTTTAACATCCAGTATTGCGTTTAGATGAGATTATTAGGACTGGAGTCATCTTTGCCTTGGATGAACACCCTTAGATCATATGATTACCACTCAAATTGATCAAGATGGAATTGTATAAGTTTGGTTTGTTTTCAAGAAGGAATATACTTTTATCAAGATTAAGATGCTAATTCCAATATTTACTCAAGTGTACTGCCAAAATAATATTAATTGTATCGAGTTGGTACATTTTGCAGAATAAATATATTTTTTGTAGTATTCAGATGTCAATTTCCTCATGGATATACCTTGGTGAACTACCAGAAATCTTTAGTGTATTTGAATGAGACTTTATTGAAAGACAAGTGAGTCAGAGTAGAATATAAAACTTCCCGGTGGTAGGGGACAAATATTGTAATTGTCATTTGGGACAATTTTGATAGGAAGGACTTATTATGGATGAGTTGTGGAAGCTTTCTTGGCTTTAAATCTGGTTGCATGACTGGCTAAGTAAAAGCTGCATGTTTCAAAGCCTTGTTACTGTATTCATTAGTATGTATCCATCTTGTTTTCTTCTGTTTTTTAACTGTTTCCTTATTAAGAACTGGAAAGAGGACGAAATTTGGACTGCTCAAAGACGGCATGAACTCCTTGATCCGTTACTACATGAACAACTTTGTAGATGGTTTCAGACAGGTAAAGCATTTCTACATTATATGATTGACTAGTTCTGTGTAAATTTACTTTGATCATCTTTATAGCTTAGAAGAGCCGAAAGCATATTTTCTGCAGATTTATCATAACCCTAATCAAACTTAAAGGTAGCACAAGTAAGTTGCTATTAAATAGTGATAATGTTGTTTCTTGCATTTTATGTTATAGAAAAATATATACATGACATACTATTATGTACTGAAAATTTGTTATAATCTAAAAGGTACTCATATATTTGTTTTTAAAGTAACTTTATATCATGAGAAATTTGTGATTGACATGCGTTTTCATACATTTGCCACTCTCCATCCAGGTGAAGTAAAGCTTAGGGGCCTTATCATGGCAGCTCAGCTAAAGCCTGGGTAATATCATATTAGGGGGAACAGTATTCATACTTACAAGACTTTGCTGTGTGACATGACATATTATATGACAGGTTCAAGAATGTTGCCAATGGCAAACTTGTATTCAAGTCACATGTTTATGCCTTATTTTTGTCCATCGCGCCCAGCTATGCAAGATCAAGATTGAGATCAAGGTTAAAGAGCCAGGTTAAGGTATCATCTGACACAAGATACAGGTCATTGATGCTTCCTGGAAACTATATTAGTCGTATGTGCTCTAATGATATTGCAAAAGAAGAAGAAAAAAAAAACCCCAAAGTTCTTGGAATTATTTAAAGCAATCCTCTTCTCCCTTTTTTTCAGGATTCTACTGACCTGTTGCTAGGCAACTATGTTGTAGAGGAAGGTGAAGGTGTGACACGACCGTCTCCCATACGCAAGAGCAAGGATGCCAAGTTCATGCTGGTGAGTGATTATTAGGGATTCTTATTGAAGACAAAGAAAGAATATTAAATATATTGACTGAGAGTGAAGGGAATTTTTAACTGAAAACACTTGCAATGGAGCAATGTTCATCTAGCTTTTTGCCAGGTTAGAAAGAATTCAAACTTTAATTCATTCTTGTTTTAAAGCGACCTATAAGTATTTGGCCTCTACATGTAGAAATGAATGCTATATATGTTTTTTAAATGGAATTCAGAGAATTTCATTAACATATTTGATTTTTTATAGTCAAACTCAAGAGGCTTACAACTTCTTCTTTTTTGCTCCAAAAGCTAAAATTAACTTCATACAGATATTAGTATAAAAGCAGGGTCATGCACAATTTTAATGTCAATATTACTTTGATATCATAAAATATCATTAGGAAATATGCAAGTATTAGTACGAAGAGACATTGCCATAAAATGAATTACAAGTGCACATGTTGATGGCAGCAATCTAATTTTGTTTACAGTTACCAGCCATCGCCATGGTAGCATTCTCCATGCTTCTCATTAGCATGCTTATTCCAGCTGGTAAGTCAATTCAATTCTTTTTATACATCCAAATTCATTAGAGTACATTTGGTCACACATGGTACAAATACGCAATATATGTATGAGAAACTATATCGTTGTGTTTATAATCATAGAACCATCAAAATAAAAGGTAGACAAAATAGAAATATTTTTATATTCTAGTATTACACATTGAAAATGATGCAAACGGATATAACATCAGTGTGAAGGAAGGAAGGAAGGAAAACCAGGCTAAGCCCACATGCTCCTCACTCCATTTGGTTGTACAAACAACGGAGTATGGAACATATGAGCCCAACTATCGACCTGTCCGACATTTCAATGAGCGCATTCTCCTTCCTGACCATTTATATACATTTATCAGTATCTAGTGAGAAGAAATTAATACACTAATATGATCTTGAGTTTTCCTGCTATGGCATTCTTGCATTCATTTGGAGTGCTTCATGTTGCTAGTTTACAAAACAAATACAAGCTTTACAGTTGTGAAAAACATATTTTGGGAAATATATCACAAGTTAATTTTCCAATAGTAGTAACTATTTATTATGATTTTTTTGTAAAGTATTCATGTTGTTGGAAATTACAATTATTAAATGTTATGGAGAGCAGACAATTCCATGCTCTGCTGTTCAGGCGCGAGGCCTGCTTTGAACACTCCAATTTTTTCAAATTATGGCTCCAAATAAAGTATGTTTGTTAAATGTTGATAATTATGGTAAGTTCCCTGCTGAATTGTGTATTTTCATTTGCCAATTCATCTTTGAAATGATACTTAGAAAACAATTATGAACAGTTAATTTGATAAATTGCTGTTTTTCTTTCTATTCTTACAGCCGAGCTTCATTTACAGATTGCATACATCCTGTTCTGGTTAGCTGCTACTGTCATCTGTGTTGGTTTGATGGGGGTGTTTGGTATTGAGTTTATAGATCAACCCAAGCTCTCTCAAGCAAAAGTCAAGAGTGATTAAATAACTCATTAGTACCCCTCTCTGTGTCTGTCTGTCTCTCTCTCTCTCTTGCTCTCTTTGTCTCTGTCTCTCACAATCCTCTGTTGCTCTTTTCTTAATATTATTTTTCCTATCCATCCCTCTTTCTCCTGTGCTGCTCTTTTTTCCTCCCTTCCTCGTATGTTGCTTTCTCCTCTGTCTCTCTTTCATTTGTCACTTGCTCTCTCTTGTCCCCCCCCCCCCCCCCCCCCCCCCCCCCCCCCCCCCTCCCCCCCTCTCCCCCTTCCCCCCCTCTCCCCCCCTCTCTCCCCCTTCCCCCTCTCTCTCTCTCTCTCTCTTTCTCTCTCTTCCCCTCCCCCCACCACATGGGGTTAAACATTAATGACCAAATAGTAACTGCCTATAATACATCAAAACAATTCACTGTCCTTTGAAAAACATCTAACAAGTCTCTCATTTCGGAACATACTTTAAGTATGTGCATTTTCTTGCATTTATTCCAACAAAGTTAGTCGTTCCCCACTGTTCATGCACCATAAAGTCACAATGGTAAAATTAATTAAATACTTGAAGGAGGTACCTGTGTCAATGGTGAAACTTGTTGAGGCTAAACATCATACAAATATCAGGCCTGATAAAAACCCGATTTAAATCGGTTTCCCGATTTTTTTTATTTTTCCCGATTTTTTCCCGATTTTTTTTTTCTTCCCGATTTAAAAAAAAAAAAAAAAAAAAAAAAAAGATTTTTTTTTTTTTTTTTTTTTTTTTTTTTTTTTTACCAGATTTTTTTTTTCTTCCCTTTTTTATCCTGATTTTCCTGATTCCCCCCTTATTTTCTCTATTCTTCCCTATTTTGCCCTATTTTTTTCTCCCAATTTTCTTACTCGAAAGGGGGGAATGTTGTTAGATGCCGTTTTTTCCCCGCGAATCGCCTTTTTTTTTTTTTTACTCAAGGGGGGCGTGGTTGAGGGGAAAACAAAAAACCTATTTTTTTTTTAGTGCTCACTATCACCCCTGAAATATATGTTGGAAAGTTGCCTTAACATTTAGCTATAGGATATTTATTAGGTATGTGTGAGGAAAGAAAACAAATCATGGATCTACAATGGAGAATTATTTGATGGTACTTTGTAAGCGCTACTACAAGACAATTCTCTTTGTGCGGCTGTACCAATGCTTTTTTAAAAATTACATGTATGCAAGCATTGATATGAATTTGCTGTGCATAGCAATCAGGAATGCTTGGTATAACTTTTGTCTGTAACAGTGCTGGGTTATAGTAATAAGTATGGTATTCTTGTACATGATGTAAAATCTTATTGTTAGGGTAAAATGGAGATGTATTATTTGGTTTGGAACAAGTTTCCCTCGTACAATATCTATCAAGGAATCGGCAAGAAAATTATATTTCTGCATTTCGTATTATCACTCTACCCATATGAGACTTTGACAAGCTGAGACATGTCACAAAATGAAAACTGTGAAATGTTGTCAATTTGAAAAGGAAAGAGGTAGAGATTGATCGAAGATCTTGTTTGTGATGTATCGTCATAAGGTGAACCTTACATTTAATAGAATCTACTCTGTGTTGCGTTACCAAAGAAAACTAATCAATTCATTCCCCTGCCATCTTTAGTATGCATTAATCAATATTGGCCTCATCCTCTAGTTTTCCTTTATAGTTACTACATAGTGAACATGATATTATCTGTTGTAACAATCAGGGAATTATTTGCATTATTTCAATTTTTGTACCTGTAAGCATTCCGGTGTCAAGACACTAACTATCAATGTATGGTGGAAGCTTCACAACTTCAATATCTAGCTGTATAGATCATTCTTATGCTCTATTGATATATTTAGTCTTCATATTTTTAGCTGAGGATATACATAATTATTCACTTCTCAAAGCATGAGAATGTGTTTTACATGAAATTGAATTTAGCCAAAAGCTGTTGATTATTGCCATTGTGTGTCATATATTCTTATCAGCCAGAAATTAATTATTTCATGTGATTTCAAGTGATTACATTCGATAGTAGTTCACCCTCATTTATCATTACAGATTATCATTATATGCCCACTTTATTGTCATGTTTTCCTATCAATATCGTACACTCCATATACTCTTTGCAGTACGCATTTCACCTCCGTATTCTGCGCAGGAAAATTATTCTCATATATGCCCCCGTAGAGGTATGTATAATGATTTGCTCTGAAGGAATAGAAATATCATCTTTTGATTGTATATATGTATATCATTGGATATCCTCTGTATATACTGGTTTCTTCATATGAATTTTTTTTTTTTATAACCAACACTAGTCTAGTTGTTGGGCATAAAAAGATGTACAATAAGAAGGAAAACAATGCTAAAAGAGATGTACAACCAATATCAGAACATGACCGTGCAAGTACATTATAATACGAAAATATTTTGTATAGGTCCATAAAATCATGTAACAAAATTCAAATTAAGAAGCAATTTATTTGTGTGCTTTAGTCTTGTAATTAGACAATTCCCTCATTCGTTGTTGGTTGAAAACCATTAGTATTATATATTTTTTTTAATGTGTGTTCATTACATCTCGGTGATGTATATTTGAGGTGAAATTTGGTATTCTGGAGATAACCTTTAATTCAAGTAAGAAACAGGCAACTTACCTATGTTGATTGTCGTGTAAAGTAATGAAAACTGGTATTTTATTATGCATACCATCCTTATACTTGTACATGTACCGTTACTGAATATCATTGTAAATACAGGCCCTTACACACTGATATTATGTCACCATCACCTATCAGAAATTATTAACACCTTATCTGTTTGTTTTAGGTCGGTATTTAACTTCAACAATTTGCATTCAGATTACAAAACAAGATTTATTTTGACTAAGAATTGGACAGGGAGATTATTTAGCATTGAATGGCCTTATTATTGAAATGACTTGAGTGGTCGTAAATTTGTCTGTAAAATAGTTTCTTGCCTATGTTTATCTTGTGGTGTACAAGAATTGATGCTCTTTTCAATCAAATATTATGTTATGGAACGTAATTGACTTTTCAGGGTTACCCATACAATTACTATGCCATGAACCAGTTTGTGTAATTGTAACTTTTAAATACATATTTCAAGTTCTGGTAAAATGATTGTTACTGTTCTTTAGATTTAATATAAGAAACACTTTTGCCGTAGCTAAAGGGAATTGTAGAGAGTTACTTCATCATTGCCCAAAATTGTAGATATAGGATTGAAATGATAGATATATATTCTGTTTTATGTGAAGATATTGACCTTTATGATAATTTATTAGTCAAGATGTATTAATCCTTTGCTTGTATTATTTTTTAGCATCCTTAATCTTTGATACATATTGCTAATATTTAAATGGGAATTCATTATTTTCAACGTACTTGTATTTATGTTTGGTAGATAGTCACATATCTATTGGTTTGTGTAAATTTAATCTTTATTGTATGCCATGCACTTGTATCTTATTGTCACTGCTCTTCCACAGGTTATTCATGTCTTGCTAAACAAGGAACCGAAACTCTACATTTTGACAGTCTGTTCATTTTTTTCTATTGATATGTGATGTGCTTTGTGTAGCTATTTTATTGAAAACTTCATTGAATTAATTATGTGTATGAATTCATTAAAAGCAGCATATGTAATTGATCCAACAACCAAAAAAAATTGTATCTGCCGTTCTTCTGTTAAATTTGTTGATAGTGTGAGTGTATTGGTAATCATTGAGTAATGAAGCACTGTATTACAGGTTTCAATTTGGAGTAAAGAGGTTTTTTTCATCCAATATAGCACATAAAGTAGAAGAATGATTTGTGCTTTCACAGTTATCTGTGTATACTATAAACAATTGAACATTATGGGTAGCTCTGCAAGCACAGATGTAGAATGTCTCGCGACAATTACCTAGATATGTTACGATCAAGATACAGCTCACTGAAAATAAAAGATTTTTTCATATTTTTTAAACACCTCCAAAAGTTTTGGTGACTTCCTCAAACATAATACTGAAGACAAAAAAAAATAAATACATATGTTATCGAGTTATGAACAATAGTTGAATTATTATGAAATAGGCCCCATACAGAATAACACCATAGGACCGAGGTGCAATATGACTGGAACTGTGAGAGTTTAAGGTTAGTACTCTGCCTTTTTCTCCCCTAAGTCAAGATACTTATCATAAAATGGAATATGTAGAAGAAAAAAACAATCCGAAAACATCGTTTTGGGTTTTGAGATGAGCCGTGTAACATCTTATCTGAACAAGCTTTACCATTCCATTGACAAATATTCCTATAGTCACCATAAGTTTGAATAACATCTTTACGTGCAAACAGGGACTCAGCTAAGTAAATGGGTCCACGTGAACGTGTAGGTGCCGGTTCCACAGATGGAACGTCTTGTTCTTCATAGTCCTATGATACCAAAGGATCATCAATGGGTTGGCGTCGCGTCCGATGTACTTGCGACTCACCGCATCGCACGCGTTTGCAAGATGACAGAATGTGGCGCGTGCGGAGACCTCACACGTGCGTACGATGTCTGTGACGTCACCAAACTTGACGAGTTCCGAATAGATTGTTTCAAGGGAATAACCGGGGTCCCGCTTCTTTACGTGCCACCTTTTTCAAAATGATACGAACGATAAATCATGAGGGTTATAGAATAATAAATGAAATCTCAGATGAGATCAAGTCTGAAATAAGTAACCCAAACAACGTCTACTGTTAGTCCTAACCGATGACGTAACATGGATTGAATTCAATGAGGGGGCACTGACTGTAAAAAAAAAAAAAAAAAAAAAAAGAATAAAGAAAGCAAGATAGATAGATTTTTTTTAAAGGAGAGCACGGCTGTCTAATTAAATAAGTGGGGTTAGAACAACATAACGAGGGAAGATTGGAATGGAATTGTATTACGTTTTTATATTCCTCATTTCTCTTCTCTTTTCCCACTCCAAACTTTACGCTTTCTTGCCCTTTTTGTCGTGGGTGGGGGGGGGGGGGGGGCTACATTTCATAACCTTTATGATTGGTAACGATAACTAATCTTTGACCCGATTCAATTAAAAGTGGACACCACGTCAAGAGAACACATTTAATCTGAAAGTAGTTGTTAACACATGTACA